CACACACACACACACACACACACACACACACACACACACGGGTTCAGTCTCATGTTCAGAGTTGAATAAGTCCATTTTCATGCACTGACAGTGTTGTGATTGGATTTTTAAATTCTTTTATCATTATTCTGTAACTATAGATACATTCCTTGTCCTAATTCTGTGGATCACCAGATTAGAAAATAAAATAGACATCCACACACACACACACACACACATACACACAGACAGAGAGTCTGTGTAATATGCTGACCTCAGTAAGCCATTCCTAAATGTTTATTGTCCGGTGCTGCAAAAGGAGAGATGAGTGTAAAAGCTGCGCTTCAATCAGAGCTCTTTCAAATTTTAATGACAGAAAATAAAGGTTAAAGTTACGTGTCAGATAATTTATCGGCTCACATCATTCGCATCAGCCTGTTTCTTCTATTTTACGTACAGCTGTGTGTGTTTCCTGTGTAAATATGACCAGCTGCTCATCTGAAGCTGTGGACAGCCAAACAGCTGCCACACCGGCCAGTTTTCACATGGCTTCACTGCCTCCTGCTAGTCTTCCCTGCTAACTACTTTGTGGATCTGCTCTCACAGATAATCACAAGGTAAAATAAAAAAGGTGAAACAGTTCTGGACAGGCGATCGAGATGCTGATGCCTCGGAAATTTTACACCGATGGTTTGAAACGTCCATAATAAAGATCTTTGTTTGGAGCTAAAGTTTGCTGCACTTTTTTTTTAAAGTGTTTTGGGTTTTGGTGACACAGTGGTGCAGTGATTGGAGCTGTCGCCTCTTCCTATAACCCTTTCTGGCTATGCTGTCCTCGTGAGGGTTTTCTCTTGTTCAGTTTCCTCCCACAACACTAAAACTTATARTTAATTACTCTAAATTGTCCCTATAGAGTTTATGTCTCTACGTGTCCCTGTACTGGACCTGTGACCTGTCCGTCCCTTAGGTGTGGGTAAAATATATATGCATTGCACTTTTTGTTTCAAAATTACATATTGATTGAGAAAGTCCTCTGATTCAGTTCAATTTCCTTGCCAGTTTGTCATATTTATGTTTGCACTCTATCTTCAGAACAAGTATTAATGTACAATACTGCTTTATTTTCAGATATATTATTTCTCAGAAACGTTAATTTATTGGCAAGAAAATAAATAATCGACAGAGACTCTAATGAATTATTTGTGTACTTCTTATCATTATGGAATATTGAGGATTAAAATTCATGCTAGAATTTCCTATTTGACTCATTAGCGCCTCTAGTGTTTAAATACGGAACTTCATCCACCATCATTGCTCTCAGAAGAGCGACARGACAAGGGGGCACATCAGGGGGTCAACCAGATTAAAGCTGGGGCCAATGCCTCTTTGGCCCCTAAGAGTTGGAGGTTGGGGGAATACAATATTTTAAAAAATATCAATATATACAGTATATATTGCAAAGCTCTACTATATACATCTCAGAAAAGAAAGATAATAAAAGAAAATGAATAGATTTTGTTTTTCTCATGTCACCAAACTTTCAGCATGTGTTACCATTTCAACTTTTTTTATGTGCAACATGTTTATCTCCACAGATCAGCTGTTACTCTTGTATTTTAAAGCCATTCTTAGCGTCAGTCCTGCTAATCTATAAAACTAGATCTTTGAAATGCATCTGCAAACGATTCAGGGCAAAGTTTTTTTTTTTTATTTTTTATTAACAATTTATTTCAAACATGGAAAACAAAATAAAAAATGATTAAAAAATGATAATAATGAAATTAACATATCTGAAAAGG